TTAAAAGAAACAGATTTTGACTCCTTGAACTTAAAGAGTAGCATAGGTATCTATCATAAAACTCACAGGCAAATTTGGCTTCCTTCCCTCTTTCCTTTCTGGCTCCCTAGGTTGTCAAGGCAGCTTTGCAAAACCTCTTCTTTTCCCCAGTTCTACACTTCCACAGCCTCAAGTTAGGTTTCTGAAACCTTCTCCTCTTCTCCCCACGGAATTCTTAGACACTATTCAAGATGCCACACACCATTAGACTTTACCGTCATTCTGATTTTTCCAGGTAACTTCCCTGCCCTTTCTAAGGTGAAAGCAATTGCACCTCTCTCAGTGTCTCTCAGTGTTTCTCTTTGCTCATTACCCAGATGTACAGAACAGAGGCTGAGGAAGCTGAGTAATTCTAACAACAACAACAACAACAACAACAATATTTCCAGGAGATTAGGGCAGGGGAAAAGCTTAGAATACAAGATATTAGGGCTGGCGCTGTGGCGCAGAGGGTTAACGCCCTGGCCTGAAGCGCCGGCATCCCAAATGGGTGCCAGTTCCAGTCTGGACTGCTCCACTTCTGATCCAGCTCTCTGCTATGGCCTGGGAAAGCAGTGGAGGATGACCCAAGTCCTTGGGCCCCCGCCCCCACATGGGAGACCCAGAGGAAGCTCCTGGCTCCTGGCTTTGATCAGCACAGCTCCGGCCATTGCAGCCAATTGGGGAGTGAACCATCGGATGGAGGATCTCTCTCTCTCTCTCTGTCTGTCTCTCTCTCTCTCTCTCTCTCTCTCCTTTCTCTGTAACTCTTTCAAATAAACAAATCTTAAAAAAAAGAAAAAAGAATACAAGATATTAATATTGTTGATCTCTGTCAAAACTGAAAAGAAAGTAAGAGAGCACAGGTAAACATGTTTGGAGATTTAGTTTTTCCAAGAAGGAAATTATCTTGACTATTTTAGGATTTCTATTGGATGGAAACAACAGTGTTTGGCCAGAAGATGTCACTCTTCTAAAACAAATTTAGGCAGTTCCCTAGCACAGGGGGCTGGGATAAAGTGAATCATAGTTGATAAAGATCTGCAAGGCACAGAAGCGTTGGGTAGACACGGACAGTAAGACACATGGGGTAAACTACAATCAATGGGGCCTAATATTTAGCACTTATTAATGACGCCTTTTGTCGTTTATCAATTAGCCATGCCGTCTTTTTCCTTTTTACTTCCTTATTCTCCCCTATGAAGGGTCCTTATTTACTTACTTACATAAACACACAAGGATGTTTATGGGGGTTTGAGAACATATTCCACTAACCTCCCCATAAATCTTACTTATTCTGTATTCATAGTACCCTGTGCTTCTGTAATATAATTTCTTTTTTTATTTTAAAGATTTATTTATTTATTTGAAAGTCAGAGTTACACACAGAGAGGAGAGAAGAGGCAGAGGCAGGCGCAGAGGCAGAGGCAGAGGCAGAGGCTGAGAGGGAGGTAGAGAGAGAGAGGTCTTCCGTCCGCTGGTTCACTCCCCAATTGGCTGCAATGGCCAGAGCTGTGCCGATCCAAAGCCAGGAGCCAGGAGCTTCTTTCAGGTCTCCCACGCGGGTGCAGGGGCCCAAGGGCTTGAGCCATTTTCTACTGCTTTCCCAGGCCACAGCAGAGAGCTGGATTGGAAGTGGAGGAGCCGAGAGTTGAACCAGCACCCATGTGGGATGCCAGCACTGCAGGTGGAGGCTTTACCGGCTATGCCACAGCACCAGGCCCCTGTAATATAATTTCTGACCAACGCCACAATTCACATATTGCTTGGTGTCTGTGGCTGACTATGTGCTCCATAAAGTTGACTCTGTCTTGTGCCTATCTAGCACATAGTCAGTACTCATAAGGAAGTAACTTTCACAAAACGTAAAATGTGTTTTCTTTGCTTTTATTCTAAAGGTTCGATGGGGTATAACTGATATTTGTTTAGTGCTTGCTTCATTAAGCCCTTTCCTGCATTACCTCACTTTTCTTATCAACTCTATGAGGCAGGTAGTTCAAGTCACAGAGTGGTTGTGTAGGGGCATGTAAATAATAAATGACACATGGTTTTGGAGGGGCTCTAATTCACTCTGCTGGTATCAACCCATCAAGATTCTTAGTAGTATGGTGTTCTATGGACCTTTAAGCACGCCATATTCTTTTTTTTCTTGCTCCCATTCCAGCTCCCAGCATGCACCCATGACACCCCACTGCATTTCACCCATGGATCTCAATGATTCACTGACATTCTTGAGACCAATTAATGAGAAAAGCTGGCTCCCATTGAGGTATGAGAGCATATTTTATAGACCATATGTGCATTAAAAGGGGTTTGCTTGAAGAGTGCATGGCCTACCTTGCATGAATGGCAAGTTCCCTCAGCCAGTTGTTTTACATGAGGCTTTCAAAACTGGCTTCAGGGGGCCAGCGCTGTGGCTGACTTGGTTAATCCTCTGCCTGCGGTGCTGGCATCCCATATGGGTGCCGGGTTCTAGTTCCGGTTGCTCCTCTTCCAGTCCAGCTCTCTGCTGTGGCCTGGAAAGGCAGTGGAGGATGGCCCACGTGCTTGGGCCTGCACCCGCATAGGAGACCAGAAAGAAGCACCTGGTTCCTGGCTTCGGATCTGCGCAGTGCCGGCTGTGGCGGCCATTTGGGGAGTGAACCAATGGAAGGAAGACCTTTCTCTCTGTCTCTCTCTCTTACTGTCTATAACTCTACCTGTCAAATTAAAAAAAAAAAAAGTACTGTCGGCTTTTATGAAAATATTAAAAAAAAAAAAAACCTGGCTTCAGAAAACTGGCTCCCAGCCAAGATAACCAGTTAATAGCAGCTGTCACTTTGAGTCCTGCCTTTCCCTTGAACTCTAGAGAATGGCCTTGATCAAGGAAGGGAACCAAGCCCTGAGCTGTTACTATTACCTAGTACCTTCCTTTGCTAGGTCAAGGGGCATGTCTTGCATTTTTAGGACCACTTTAGTTCTAAGCAAACACTATAGTTTTGTGGTTTTTTCTTTTTTTTATATTTTGACAGTGAGAGAGAGAAAGAGAGAAAGGTCTTCCTTCCGTTGGTTCACTTCCTAAATGGCTGCCACAGCCGGCGCTGTGCCGATCCAAAGCCAGGAGCCAGGTGCTTCTTCCTGGTCTCCCATGTGGGTTCAGGGACCCAAGCACCTGGGCCATCCTCCACTGCCTTCCTGGGCCACAGCAGAGAGCTGGACTGGAATAGGAGCAACCGGGACTAGAACCAGCACCCATATGGGATGCCGGTGCCACAGGCAGAGGATTAACCAAGTGAACCATGGCACCGGCCCCACTATATTTTTTTTTTAAATCATCAATTTAATGTTGATGTCCTGCTAACTGGATTTAAATCATAGTCAGCACAGATCAAATGCTGACAAAAAGAGTGGCAATTTCTATCTCACTGTGAAGATGCGTCTTTTTCCAATAAAGTCTGGTACTGCTCTCATTGTTCATGACATTGACATAGCAGAAGGTAAACACTGCCACTGCCTAGGGGAAGAGTTATTTCTTAATGGAGATTTTGGTCTAAGAGGGCCTTTTCCTATCTTTGTTTTCTGTCTTTCTGCCCTTCCAACCCAGGCTTCTCTTACTTGCTCTATGTGGTTTTACAATGGTTGTCAGTCTTGAAACTTATTTCTCAGAAAGTAAAAGGGATTCAAAAAGAATTTGTTATGTAAGTGGTGCAAAACCAAACTTTGCATTTATCAGGGTCTTGAGGATAATTTGAACATGTAAACCAAGCCTTCAAATGTGTTTTGATTGGTTCAGTAGACTTTTAAGGGTATTTGAATATAAAAATATAAATGTTCTTTAGAGGGGCACATGCTTCCTAGGTCAGCTACAGTCTCCGCTACCCCCTAATATCTCATGGCTGCTGCTGTTCACTTTTAGCTGCCTGACTCCGGAAGACATTTTGGACTTTTTTGTGAATGCACGTTTTTTCCCTTTGAGCTTTCTGCTAGTAATCTGTAGATGGGGCTCATTTATTGAGATACACATTGAATCATTCCAGGCTTCCTTCCTGTAAAAATGGTGCAAAAATACAACCTTTTAAATTAAGAAGTTGACTCATTTAAAGGGATAGGTTCACAGGGATAGCTCCACTCTATCCATAAAAGCAAATATCAAGTCAGTGCTATCTCCTATATGACAAGGCAACTTTCTATTGTGTGGGGAGGTAGATACTATGGTTCTCAGCTTCTTGGAGTACAGGCTAATCTTAGTTCACAGCAGGAATTGTCCTTGGACCTACCTTACCCAAGGAATATCCTCCCAGAGGGTGTCTGATGAAGGAACGCACAGATCACTCCCTTGTCTCACAGAGGACACAATTCTACAGGGACTCCCCCGCTCCCTATTAGGCTTTGCTGAGGCTTGCATTCCAACTGCACTGTAGGTTGACCCTTCCCCTCCCCAATTCTGCTTTGCTCATCTCCTTAGGTATATTTCCTGAGAACTTTCTCCAATAAACTTTCTGCCCCAGCTCTGCATCTCAGAGTCTTTTTCCAGAGAACCCAATCTAAGACAAAGAGTGGACCTAGACACAGAAAGGCTGAATGTTTTGTCTCTGCCATATCAATAGGCAAAAAATATAAAGAGTACTGACAATAAAATGCATAAGTCACATAATGTTGTCAGGGAAAGAACCTTTAGAAGCCATCTCATGCTACCCATCCTTTCTCAGATGGGGAGATTGAGATAGAGAACTGGAATGATTGGCTCAAGGTATCATTAGCTAATTGGGTAAGAAACCTTGGATCAGAACCTACCTCTTGTGGTCTAGTTAGGCAGAGTACAGTATTCTGGTATTTAATCAGTTTCTAGGAAACTTCAGTAACACATGAGAGTCAAATCCAACTTTAAGAACTGGGTTTTTAAGCCTATACTCTATGGATAATGCCTCATGGTGAACTTCTGCAGTAAGAAGCCACTGGACCTTCTGAATGGAACTGTGAACTATAGAGAAGCCAGGTCTGAATCAGGGGTGGTAGTATACTTTATTAGCAAACAGTACCATACAGGCAAATCTCACTTTGATGACAAAGCAGACACATGGGCATACTCCCACATGTAGCACTGGGGACAAACTTCAGACACAGAACATTAGACACCAAGTTTACAAACTAAACAGGGTTTACAATCCTTCAATATTTTATTCTTCAGTGGAGTATGAGATCTTATTTAGCAGTCAGTTGTGACAAACAGATGAAATTTTAAAATCTAATTCTCAACATAACTATGGAATGAGGCCAACTCAATCTTCAGAACTGTGAAGCGGATGCCTTATAGAGCCAAAGTCTATCAGCATCTTACATTGTCTTTTGTCTCTCTGGTTGGGAGAGATCAATGGTATCTTCATAATGGATGACCCTCACATATGGTGGGAGTTCTCAGCTCTGATTTCATGTCTAGGCAGATCTGGACTGGCATTCATTTTGATACCCAAATCTGTAGCTTAATAGAATTGATCTAAGTAGGATCAATCAATGGGTTTTCTAAAAAGTTGGAGAAGATAGTAAATGGCACACTTGGAGTACTTCAACATGCAAGACTTACATATGTTACCAACTTGATTACTGTTAAAACTGTTACCAGTTCAGAAGTTTAAATAAGCACTCCCCAAGAGGTGTGTCAGGACTGGGTTAATCAGTAAGTGAACAGAAAAACTACATGAGATTAGAGATGAGATTTCTCAAAGCAGTTTGATATAATGTTCAGCAACTCCTTATGGTACTGGAGTATATCCAAGATGTTACTGAAACTCCTAAGTTAGCTAAAATACTTTTGAATTGCAAGAGAAAGAAAGAGTGGCAGAAAAATCCAGCTCTTTGCTCTTAGGATAGGAAAAACTTTGGAAGACCTAAAGTCCTCATACCCAGGGTCCAGAGACTAACATTTGCATTTCTGATAAGGTTAATGGAGTAATATACTTGGTTTGGCTGGTTTTCTCTGGTACTCTTTAATTCTCCTTAAATAAAAAAAATATATTTTTAAAAAGAACTATTTTATGATTGAATTTTTTGGCAGGAGCTTTAAAAAAATTTGGCAATTTTTAAAATGGCCAAGGTAAGAAGTGGGCACTGGTCTGGGCCCATATTACTCCTAAGATAGAGAACATAGTCTTCAGATATAAAATCACTCAATTTTGCTTCTGATATAAAATTTAGTAAATGAAGCAAATTGAGGTTATCATATAGAGCCCTAATTTCCTTTCTGTATTGAGTCTTCATGAATAACAATCAGAAATTTATCATGTATATTTCAGCACTCATTTGAGAGAAATTGGCATGCTAATATTTATGCAAAGTAGCCATGCTGAAGACATATGCAAGTTAAGAGATCTAATTCTATGGTCATAGGAAAAAAAAATATGACCCTAAGGGCCTTCAGACAACTGGGGGCTACCTGAGAAAAAGGAAATACAGCTTTCTTGCCATCGTCATAAAATGCTATCACTGACAAGGACTGACTGCTGTCTGGCCACCTTCCAGGCAGAAGAGAAGATGCCCATTGTAGCTGGGCTCACAGGAGGCTGGTCAGGGAGGCCTCCTAGAGGACAGTTTTGCTGCTCTATTATGCTGCTCATCTTGGGTGGTACACAGAAGTTCCAACAAATCCATTTCATTATAACTCAGTAAGTGCTTTCCTCTGGAAGAAGTCAAAGAAGAAAACATACAAATAGGATAGAGTGCTGAACCTAGATGTCTAGAACATTCCAGGAATTAGAAGTGGCGAGGGGATTCCTGAGGCAGCAGCCTACAAGATGTCCCCATCATAGACTTAGGGCCTGCATGTCCCTACCCCATTCTGTTTCATTTACTATTTCCTAATCCAAAGTAGGAGCTGCTCCCTCCAGGAAGCTATGAGCCTCCAGGCTCTGCACCAATGCATCGCAATTGTTTAAGGACAGAAAAAGGTCAGTCACAGGCTGGGTCTTAACCTACTCCACCTTGACAGGGAGAAAGTCGAACATTTTATTTTTGAAATTATTAGACACTTCACATTGATGGAAGAAAAACGGGACACAGAAATTGTTTCTGAGGAGTACTTCAACTTTAACATTTTGAAATTAAGAGGCAATCAGAAAGTTTTATCAATCAACATGAGTTAGTCTACATAAATAAGGTAGAATTGGATCTTACCAAAATGAATTATATGATTCTTTGGGTGGATTTTACATTAACACAGACTGAGACTAAATGCAAATGATTAAATCAAGTGCACTTAAAATGGCCCAATGATACAGCCTACAATTGGCCAACATTTTTTTATGGTGTTGGGTAAGACTAAGTAGAATGCATGAGGCTGAAATGTTAGGGCCGTGGCAGTAGCTTCCACTTGTACAGGACAAGACACAGAGTGGTTACTGATGTAGAAACCCCAATGATCTTCAGGAGGCCAGGAACAGATGGTAAATTTCTTTCCAGGAAGGTAGGTTTGATTTCTAATGATGGAACATCCTAGATGAATGAATAGAGACCATTAGCAAGAGACTCTTATGCTATCCAGGAGGAATAAAACATATCTGTAAAATCAGTGAATGGCTTTGCCTTGAATATTTACATCTATGATTAAACCAGAGGCTAGAATAAGGGAAATGTGAGTTTTATGTGCCATGACTAGTCTGTGGAGATAAGAGATGCTGAACTCACCTGTGATTCTGGTTCTGGCACCCATATATCTTTTTTGGCTACTTTCCCCAGAGCATTCAAGATCTGAAAAGAAAATGTGACCATGGTATTATGAAATAAAGTTGTATAGTTTCAACAGATCCAAAATCCTGTAGGCCACAAATGAGCATCAAGAGGGAGGGACAGAGAAATGGACATAAGATTCTATCAGGGTAAAGAACTAAACAAATGAATGGATGAATAAAAGGTGGTATGTGTATACAATGGAATCTCTTCAGGCATCTGAAAAGGATGAAATGCTATCATCTGTGGCAGCATGGATGAGTCTGGAGGATGCTATGTGAAGTGAATAAGCTGGTTACAGAAAGACAAATACCACATGTTCTTCCTCATATGTGGGAGCTAAAAAAGTTGATCTTATATTCTCTTAGAAGTAGAGAATAGAAAAGGTCACCAGACACTGGGAAGGGTAAAGAGTAGGGGGTATTGGAGAGGACAGGTAATGGGTACCAAAATACAGTTAGATAAGAAGAGTAAGTTCTAGTGTTCTATAGCACAGCATGGTGACTACAGTTAACAATAATTTGTTATGTATTTCAAAATGCTAGAGGATTTTGAAAGTTCTCAACATAAAGAGGTGATAAATGTTTGAGGTGATAGAAATGCCCATTATCCTGATGTGATCATTACACATTGTATATTGTATTTACTCCATAAATATGTACAATTTTACATGTCAATTTTTTAAAAAGTAAAGTTTCAACCTCACATGTGTCATCATGTACCTTACAAAGGAAAGGAAAAGCTAGAAAGATCAGATGGTAAAAACACTGCTGCACTTGATGGGGGCAAGTGCCTCAACTTCCTCCCTTACCTCTCGAGCAGCTCGCTCCCCAGCCTCCACTGCGCCTTCCATGTAACCACTCCATTGTGTGGCTGTCTCTGTACCAGCAAAATAAATCCTGCCCACGGGCTGGCGAATTACCCTTAAAGGGAACAAAAATGTCACACAGAGTTACCTGGGAAAGCACTGAGGTAAAATGAGCCAATTACTGCCCTCATTTACTCCATAGAACATAGGAAAACTCAATTGTTGAAAAAACAGCCAGGGTGGCAAAAAAAAAAAAAAACAAAAAACAAAAAACAAAAAAACAAAACAAAACAAAAAGACCTAAATGAAAGATCTCTGTGAGTGAGATCCCAGCGGAAAGAACAGGCCATCAAAGAAGGAGGTACCTTTCTCTGAAGGGAGGAGAGAACTTCCACTTGGACTATGACCTTGTCTAAATAAGATCAGAGTTGGCAAACTCAAAAGGCTTCCATAGCCTTGGCAACTCATGACAAGAGCCTGGGATGATCACTGATGCCATAAACAAGAGTGTCAATTGTTAAATAAACAACAGGAGTCACTGTGCACTTACTCGCCATGTCACCATGTAGGATCTCTGTCCTAAATGTGCTGTACATTGTGAATTAATGCTATAACTAGTACTCAAACAGTATTTTACACTTTGTGTTTCTGTGTGGGTGCAAACTGATGAAATCTTTACTTAATATATACTAAATTGATCTTCTGTATATAAAGATAATTGAAAATGAATCTTGATGCGAATGGAATGGGAGAGGGAACGGGAGATGGGAGGGTTGAAGGTGGGAGGGAAGTTATGGGGGGGGGGAAGCCATTGTAATCCATAAGCTGTACTTCGGAAATTTATATGTATTAAATAAAAGTTAAAAAAAAAAAAAACCAGCCAGGGCGACACCACTCCAGGTGGCAGGGTGCTCCTTTGTTTCATAGCAGCCTGCACACAAGGATCTGAACTTTCCAAGCCAAGGAGCACAGGGGTGTCAGATTATCAATCACCAAAAGGTAATGCTGACCTTTTCCAAGCCAGCCAGAACTGGAATAGAACATGCATTCAATACACAGATGTATTTTCTGTATGTTCCTGCTTGTGGTCCATTCTACTTGCCTACACTGTCTTTCTGAGCTTCCCACAGGGCAGCAAAGCCCAGCCATGTGGGCATTCTCAGTGTCTGAGGAGGAAGTGCAGTGGCGAGTGGCTAGGAAAGGAGATCAATGGTCATTTCCGGTAAAGGGGAGACTGGAGGGATTATATAGATGTGTCCCCTTAAAAGACAACCTCTGGTGGTCAGTGCTATGGTGTAGTGGGCTAAGCCTCTGTCTGCAGCACTGGCATCCCATATGGGTATCAGTTCTAGTCCTGGCTGCCCTCTTCTGATACAGCTCTCTGCTATGGCCTATGAAAGCAGTAGAAGATGGCCCAAGTGCATCTGCGTGGGAGACCCAGAAGAAGCTCCTGGCTCCTGGTTCAGAACGGCCCTCCTCTGGCCATTGTGGCCATTTGGGGAGTGAACCAGTGGATGGAAGACCTTTTTCTCTGTCTCTCCCTCTCTCTGTCTGTAACTCTACATCTAAAATAAATAAATAAATAAATAAATAAATAAAATCTTATATATAAAAAAGACAACCTCTGGGGCCAGTGTTGTGGCATACTGGGTAAAGCAATGCCAGTATCCCATATGGGCTGCTGTTTGAGTCCTAGCTGCTCTGCTTCCTAACCAGGTCCTTGCTAATGGCCTAGGAAAGCAGCAGGAGATGGCCCAATTGCTTGGGCCCCTGCCTCTCATGTGGGAGACCTGGAAGTTCCTGGTTACTGGCTTCATACCATCCCAGCTCCAGCCATTGCAGTCATTTGGGGAGTGAACCAGTGGATAAACAATCTCTGTCTCTTCCTCTCTCTCTGAAACTCTGTTTTTCAGACAAATAACTAAATCTTTTAAAAAAAAAAAGACAACCTTTGTGTAGCTGGTTTCTATGAACTTATCTAGGGACTGGCTGAAGGGCAAGGAAATGGACCTCTTGCAAAGATACTCTGCCAGAGAGAAGCAAGGAAGGGCTGGGCTGAATGGGCAACTGTTCTCTCCAACTGCCTAGGCATGGATTCCTGTCACATCTCTAGTCACTTTCATGAAGTCTTCCAAACTGCACTACCATTCTCACCCCTATCCCAAGTCCTTCACCTCAGCCCAGTCCCACTGGTATACCTTTTTCCAATTCAGGATCCCTGGGCTTCATCTATTCCTGATCCTACTCCTATTTTCTAGACTTCTCCTTTGATTCCATTACTAAACCACTTCATCAGTTCTGTTATCACTAACAAAGGGTATTTGATTCAATGAAGAAAAAAAGACAAGTAAAACCCTCCTATATGGAAAGGGTTGACAAATACCTCTTCCTTCTCGATGGACAAATGTGACTTTGCATTAACTTTCTAGCTCTGTTCCTTGGAAACCAGATGTAGGTATAATACCACCTATGTGACCAGGCAACACTGCTTATGCTAAAAATGCCTCTCCCTACCCCCACATTGGTAAACTGTATCAAGACTTGTACCTGGTAGGAGGCTATCCCTTTGGACTTCCGTGAGTATGATGTTCTTGTAACTGAACAAGTGATCCTGGACAGTATGCCTATGAGACAGTGTGTCTCAGGCTTATGGAGCAAGGGCTTTTAAAGTTAAGGTGGACTCCTCTACCCTGAGTGGATCCCCTGTCCTCACAACTTAGCTGTATACAGTAAGAACTGCTCCCTTTGAAGAATTAATGCTCTGTTGGAAAGACAGGTGTATTGGATGAACACATCCAATATCCCTTTGTGTACACTGGTGCCAAGGAGCCTAGGATAGTCTTGTGAGATTACGTGTCGAGTTGAGCTCCAAAAGGCCTTCTGGAGGCCACTGCAGCTTCTCTCATTCCCACAAGTACTGCTGACATCTGAAGTCTCCTCCTCCACCTCAGCATTCTGCTATTGCTCTATGTGCCAGTGGCCATGGTTCTATGTACTAACTTCCTTATTTTCCTACGGACATCCAGAAATATGCAAATTGACTATCTGGGATATTAGAAATAGGAATGCTGACTACTCGTTCCAGGCTTTTCCATTGAACTTTGCTCCTTTTTATAAGGGTGGTACAGGTCTTGTATTAGTGGAGTGCTTGTGTAGTACCTTCCATATTGAGTCATGATGCCTGGGGGGAAGTAGGCTGTGTAGCAGCCCCCGGAATATTGTTCTTCACACCAGTTCTTCTCTTCATAATGCACCGGCTGCAGTTTAGTGGATAGACAATTGCAAAGAGAAAATACAGATGAAATGCTGCCAGTCAACAATGAAACCTCTTGTGTGTTTTACTTTAACAGAAATTAGCAAATGCCAAAAAATGTATGCTTTGATTTTCTCAAGCTCTTGATGAGGGGAGACATGAAGTTTTTATAGCTAAGTCCACAGGAAACCCCACCAACAATCAGCCTGTAGGAGGGTCTACTTGAATCTTTCAGAACCCCTTCTTTATGCTGGAAACAGGAATGACGGGAATACTGCTATGAAGGGAACAATTAATATAAAAAATATTTCCTAGCGGACATGACAAAATTTTCTCTGATTTCCCTAACACTAACATTTTGAAGGTTTATTATTTGAGCAGTTCAGATACAAGTTCCTGTAATGGTTCCTGCTATCAGCAGGTTCTTCAGAAATAATTTCATCCTCCTAATCACTTTCAGTGGTGGACTAAAAGCTGAAATTCCTAAATGAGTTGTGAATTGAATCTACACATGGGAAAATAAATTGGTATGACTTGGACTTGGGCAGATAGTCTAGATTCAGGGTATTTTGTCATGCATATACCACTGTGTCTTCAGCAACAAATGATGACACATTTCTGGGATTTTATTTTGCAGCAGGCAGTTGACCCCAATATCAAAGGTAGGACCTCTGTTCTGGGAACCATTCTCACTCATCTTTGACATAATCCCTGCAGCTCCAAGCTCTGATCACAATTGGCTGCCAGTTATCCAGTGAATACTTGAACAGTCCAAAGGAGCCACTGTGTCAGAAATTCCATGCACCTGAAACCAGCTTTTAATGGCCTTTTGTGATTGTTGAAGTTAATCCTCCAAGTTAAGCATAACCCTTTATACTCTCCTCATAAGACTGTCAGAAAATCAGAATCTGCTTTGCTTTACCACTTAGAGCAAGCAGAGCTGAACGTGCTAGGGATTAATGCCAGGGCTTTCTTACTTGTAAAGCTTCTTCTGATCCCAGCACTCTAGCATACAGTTCGCAGATTTTCCGCTTCCTATAAAATAAGAACCAAAAAGTGTTAGGGAAGTAATAAGCTGTTGAGTATAGAATAAACTTAGTGAGTTCTAGGACTCCTGCCAAAGAACCAGACTGAATACTGAAAAATTAATATCAATGGCTTTATGTAACTATACAAAATGAACAGTTCAATGAGTCTCCATATTCAAATTGACTTTCTTTTTTTTTTTTTTAAAAAAAGATTCTATTTATTTGAGAGGTGGAGTTTCACACAGTGAGAGGGAGAGACAGAGAGAAAGGGCTTCCTCCCACTGGTTCCCTCCCTAAATGGTGTCAACGGCTGGAGCTGTGCCAATCCGAAGCCAGGAGCCAGGAATTTCTTCTGGGTCTCTCATGTGGGTGCAGGGGCCCAAGGACTTGGGCCATAGTCTACTGCTTTCCCAGGCCATAGCAGAGAACTGGATTGGAAGAGGGGCAGCCGGGACTAGAACCAGTGCCCATATGGGATGCTGGTGCTTCAGGCCAGGGCTTTAATCCACTGCATCACAGCGCCAGCCCCCAAATTTCTATGCCTCAATATGGTCATTTGATCAGAAGACTCAACAAAATTTTCCTTCTTTTTATATTTTTGCCTTTTATTATCCAATACCATATCAATTTGAGATAAAAATAGCAAAAATAAATATAATTACATTTAGTTCAGTCTTAAGAACTGATTTTACATAATTTTTCTGGAATATGTAGAATTCCAGAATGAATTATTTTATGTCTATAGTACATATAGACTGTGCCTTACACCTATCCTATATTTGTCTATTAAATATAAAGCTAATTTAATCTTCTGAGTATAATATAAGATATAGTTTAAATGTATAAAACTACTCTAAACTATACGTTAAAGGCTAACAAGCAGTATTTGTTAAAAAATATGGCAAAGATAAATCAAACGTGTAAGACGAGCATGAAAAATTGATGAGACAAATGGCCAAAAATATGCAGGAGGTGGGGAGAGAGGGGAAAATCAAGCTTACTTGTGACAAAAGAAACAGATGAACAACATAAAATTTTATGTTAACAATTAAATTAGAAAATATTTTTAAAATATGCCCCTAATTTTTCTGAATACTGTGGGACAAAACATAATCATAGAAATGTATCTAAATTTTTAAATTTACACCATTCATATACCTTTTAGAACTTCTATATCACAGGTACAAAGTCAGAAGGAAAATGTGGAATTAGAAGCATGGCTCATTGCTACCATTTTTACATGGAAGGTTTTAGGGAGAAACAAATGCCACTCCTGAAATAATGTCACACAGCATTAGGTAGATGTTTAAATTCCAGGATAGAAAGGAAAAGTTTGGTTTCCTTCAAAGAGTTGTTCTTACTACACATCAAAAATCCTAAGTGAAAGAGGCATGCATTTAGCTCAGTTGTTAAAATGCCACTTGGGATGCCTGCATCCCATTATTAGAGTGCCTGGCTTTGATAACTGGCTCCATTTCTGGTTCCAGCTTCCTGCTAATGCACATACTCGGTGGCAGCCAGTGATGGCACAAGTTTGCGTCCCTTCTCAGGGTAATGGTTCAAGTACTTGGGCCTCTGCCACCCATGTGGGAGATCTGGGTTGAGTTCCTGGTTCCTGGCTTTGGTTTGGTCCAGCAACAACCATTGTGGGTATTTGGGGGAGTAAACCAACAGATGGGCGATCTCTGTCTCTGTCTCTCTATACATCTCTGCCTTTCAAATTAAAGAAATACATAATTTTTAAAAAAGAGAAAAACATGTAATTCCTAAACACCCTTTCACAGATTTTGATAGAATAAGTTCTGTGAAGCTCTGCTCTTGTCAATGGCATATTCAGTAAGGGTTTTGCCTTCCTAGAACTTTTGAGACATTCAGCCACCATGTGGAATCATAACCAAATGTCTATCCCCAGGCTGCTATTTATTTTACTATTAATAAGGAAGGCAAGCAGGAAATCCAAAAGAAAATGTCAAGCTTAGTGTGGCATAATGAAAAAAATGTATATTATATGCTAGTCCTGGTTTCCATGGTTGGAAAGTATGTGTCCTTCCAAAATTCCTATGTTGGAAATTAACCCCCAATTTGATGGTTTAATGAGGCAGGAACTTTTAGAAAGTTATTAAGTCACAAGGACTTCTCCATTTAGCTCACATTTTCTGTTATTTTTCTCTATTCACCTTACAGAGAAACCCTACCTCTCAACTACTGCAAATGAACACAAATATGTAAAATTAAATTAATATACGCATATGGGCAAGGGCTGGGTTGCAAAGGCAACAGCAAGATATAGAAACATTGATTTGTTGGCATTTTGAGAGTATCTGTGAAGTATTTTGTTTTCTCGATGGTATTCTATTGTTGTTTGTGTGACAAACAAAATACAAGCTGACCTTCCATCTATTTTTCAGATATACAGTCTCACCTGATTTCCTTATGAAGCTTGGCAAGCCGATCAGCTTTACGGGCAACGATGAAACTATAGAGAGAAGTTACATTTGAATGATTAGTTCACTGCCCTTCTTTTGCAAGTGTTTGTATCTCTACCCACTCAGCATTAAAGAACTCTCCTAGATCCTCTCCTCTCCCAGAATAAATGCCAAGTAGTCTTTAGTTGACTGCTGTGTCCAAAACCCCTGTTAGGCTATGGGCCCCTAAATGACAGGTCATCTCCATGTCAATATTAAACACCCAAAGTTTAACACAGTGTTTGACATACAGTAGGAAATCAAATGTTGGATGAATTAATGTTGTGCTAAATGATTATTCTGGTAGACTGTTGACTTCTGCCAAATACTTGCTCAAAGCTGGGAAAACAAATACAAATATGTGTCTGAAATAGATGCCATGGTAGGCTCCTCACATTCCTCTTCAGGACCAGGTACTTAGTACCCTTACCTCACAGCTGAAACTTACCCCAGAAATCTTACTTGGCAGCAGACAACTGCCTGCTTCAAGGTCCTGACCCTTCCCAGAGGCAACTGGTACCATTTGGGTCAGTTTAGGACAACTCTGAAGGACTATCAGCTCTGGAGCTTCCCATGGTCTGAGGCCTTTGTTGGGACAACATTAGAGCCTAACTTCTCCCTGTGTCTGGTCCTGATTCCTTCTGTTGTCATAGGCAATAATCCCCAGACTACTTCCCAGTAAACCTCCTGATCCCAAATCTCCATCTCCAAGTCAGGTTCCTGGGAAACCAACCTAACATAGTCCCCAAATAAAGCATCGTCATAAAACTCAGTCATAATCTGTCTGCTTCCCTTTAATCAAATAGATTCTATTTATTATGCTGGCATTAATAATTGTATATTTTAAAGAATTGAATCATGACATAAAATCGTTAATTATACTATTATTAGAAAGCTTTCAAAAATCCAAATGAGGTAAAGGACAATGAAATGATTTCTTCAGTGGAAAATAGTTTTTAAATTGTAATTCTTTTTTTCTAGACCCAAAAGACAAATAGATCAGGGCTGAGAATGCAAGGGCTGAAAGTAGATATTTCCTCCTCTCCACCCCAAAATTAAACTGCTACTCAATTCGATTGGCAATGCTTTTAGGGCTGTTATTTGAGAATATTCTATGATACAAAGACACAAAATATGTTCATCCCGAGAAGAGTTAGAATCTATGGATTATTTAAGAAATCTGAACTACTTAACATTATGGGATAGTCATAATTTTGTTTAACACATCAAGATGTGAATAACTATGAATTTTAGCTAAATTTTAGGTTTATGCAAGAATCACTAAGTTTAGATATATGCAGTATTTAAAAGAAAATCACCAATATTTAATGAAAGATTAAGTGATTTATCTGAAGAGCTTTTTAGTGCTACCTATTTCTGTAAACATCTCAAGTCATGACTGAAATAATCTCTTTTATCTCATTCTAACAACGGACAAATATCCTTTGACTATCTTTGATGTTTTATTGCAGAAATTAAAAAACCTGGCTGGCTTTGTGTTGGGGATATTTCACAATTCTAAAGTACAAGGTCCTTTCCAGTTCCCAAAAGATGTCGGTTATTACAAACACAGTACTGGGCATTACCACTCCTATCTTTGAGGCCAAGAGCAAAAAGCAGAGTGGGATCATATATTCCCAAGGCTTTCATTATCAAGAGGCAATTGTGATAAAACAGGGGAGAGGTTGGTAAACTAGTATGAAGGGGAAAAATAAGCTTTTCCCTCATCCCTCATAAATTCATAGTTGGGACAGACTTCCGCAGCAAAAGACAAGTTAACAAGAAAAAGTTTATTAATGCGTGCAGTGCACAGCACATGGGAGAAACCTCAGTGAAAAGTAACTCAAGGCAGTGGTTTAGGAATGCAGCTAATATAGTACATCCAACAAAGAACAATAAATTTTAGAGAAGTGACAAGACAAAGGAAAGCAGTCCCAGGCTTCCAAAGGCAGGAAACTGTGGGAAAGTAAATATCTGGAAAGGCATTAATGGAGTAAAATCTGCTCTGCCTTCTTAGAGCTGATAAAGGGTTGTCTCCAATACAGGAGAATTTACATCCTACATCCTGTGTGTAGATGGGAAATGGGGGAGGAGAGAAACACCTTTTCTCTCTTCAAATTTCTGTCCTGTTTTTAGATAAGCAGAGGGAAGACAGAGAGTTTTCTCCCCACCCCCAACTTAATTGTCTTCAGCTCAACAATCCTCCTTATTTTGGGGAGGCGTGTTTTAGTTTCCCACAGGTACAGTTTCAGTTAGACAGGAGCAATAAGTTCTGGTGATCTGTTTCAAAGCAGGATGACTAGTTAATACTAATATACTGTATATTTCAAAAACAGTTTAAATAGTGGATTTTACATGTTCTCACTATAAATAAATGATAAATATTTGAGGTGATAGATATCTTAATTAGCCTGGTTTGATCATTCTATAGGATATACATATATTGAGACATCACATTGTACCCTATAAATTAATTATTATTTATCAACTGCAAAGAAAGCTAATGAATAAATGCAGATTAGAACATCATTCTCTAGGAGCTACCTAAATAACCCCATTGACATCTGGAAGGGTCCTGCTATACATATCACAGTAAATAATGCCAAATAAATGAGAAAGGCATATGTCACCCAAGGAAAAGGAAGCATCTATGTTCTTCCATCCAGAGTTAGATTAGTCTTATCTAACATTCTCCTGGAACCTGTACCCTAGTCTCTTGCTTTTATCTGGAATAGAGCAGCTAATGCCAAACTACCAAAAACAACCTATAGCCTTTCTTTCCCTATGTAGTTAGAGGTAAAGGGGATGCGTTATTCCTATGGTCATTAAATTGTAAGCACCTGCCCATCTCAGGGAAGCTGGTACTATTTCTCATCTTTTACAGTCAGTGAAGTGGTTATAAAATGTATTGTTAGCAGTCCATTAGCTCAGTCTGCTTTCTAAATCCCTTTGGACATGCGTCTGCTTTTTTGGACTCTGGAAATTTCCTTCAATGATATGATATGCATGAGCTCACCTCTCCCTCTGGCAGGAGGCATGCGTTTTCCAGGAGCAAAGAGGAAAACACTGGTGTCTAAAAGTCACTAAATTCCATTGAAGCTGTGTTATTTTGTGAAGGTATGGTAGAAAAAAAAATAACTTTTGTTTGCATAGTTTTTGAGGAGGGCCAAAGGGCAGGCAACTGGGAGGCTGGGCTCTCCTTAGCAGGTCCTTTGTAAAGGGTCTGTTTCTCTTTCTGGATCCCTAGCTCCCAACAGGCAGAGCAGCTGTGTGTTAGGATGAGCGGAGAGGAGAAGGGCTCTCCTCTACTGTACACAGAACCATCCTGCACCATCTCTGTACTTCCACAGGTAAGGGAAATACTGTTGGTGAAGGGTAACTATGGAGAAACCAATCAGAAAATTTATGCCATCCACTCAAGGCCTGGCTCCACTCTGACCTGTGCTTTCGAATTGGCCAGCCATCTTCTACCCCAGGGTAACAACTAACATTTTCTATGTGTCAGATGCTTTCAATGGAGGAAAAAGTTAATTTTTGGAAACCTGAATCTGATAGGTTTTATAGGATAAAGTGAAACCAACCTGCTTATTAATATTTCTGAAATTAATAAGCTGTGTGGGTTCTTGCCATGAATTCAGAGAAGAATTCTGAATACTGGCTCAAACAGACCAGACGACATGGTAAGTTTTTTAAGTTTTTATTCAGTGAGAGAAATGCACTGGAGAGTGAGGGCTCTAGCTAAACGAGAAAGGGAAGTCTGGAAATTAAGTTGGAATCCATACCAAGCAGAAAGCAGGCCAAGAGCCACTTGCAGCAAACGTTTGGTTATGAGCAGCTACTAGCAGCTTATCACGGGCAGTGAATGGAAGGCAGAGAGCTGGAGGCCAGAAGGCCATGCGCCCCAAAGGCACAGGGCAACAAGGGGATCCAGGGCAGTGAAGGAAAATAAGGGAAGGGCCCACTATCCTCCATGCCTTTTATCCACTTCCAAAGGGGCGTGGTTAATTAGTCTGGTTGGCAGGTGGGTGTGCAGGTATGATTAGGTAGGGGCATGAGATCACACAGAGGGTGTGGTGGAGAGTGTGGTCTCCAGCTTACAGACCTCATCAATTTTATCCTAACTGCTTGCCTACATTATTAGCATTCAGTTTTCATTCCAGAATGGGTGCAAACATTCTGTCTCTATGCAAATTTGGCTATCACATCATCTGTCTAGCTGTTTTTTTTTACTTCCTCCTCAATACATAAATTGTATGGGAGAAAAAAATGATGTGCACAAGCACAAGATAGTGTTAATTTTGGTAAAGTTTCCCAGTGTTCTCATACCACCCACAAACATTACTATAATATTTTAATCAATGGAAATATAATACAGTTTTATAGGGTTATTTATCATTGTCCTAACTCAATTCCAAAACAATATACTTGGCTAGGTTCTATACCAATCTACCAATACAATCTGGAAAATGAAGAACTCTTGCTCTAACTTACCCCATTATGGCAGGCAGTGATCCATCTGGCTTGGTGTCATCCAGGGTTATTGAAATTGGAGCTTCTTCATCTTCAATGATCATGCAACCACAGTAATCTTAACCAGGACAAATTAATAGGAGATTGACACCAATGTCATCAGAGGCATTGATATACATACAAAACACATATGAACTATTTTGCTATAAGGAAGGTGAATCTTAAACAACTGGTATTTGCCCTAAGCCTAGAAGCTACTTCTTGTTGAATATACACATTTACTAAACAAGGATGTCTATTTACCACCATATATGGAAAACAACCCATCTCTATCACCTTTACATAAAGGGCTTATGACCAATGCTTGGCAAAAAAGGTAAGACGGTCTTGGATCCCAAAGTACATGGGGGACAAAGTAGGATGTGTCAGAGGGAATCATCTCACCAATTATCAACCCTGAAGGAATAACATATGAGCAGAAGGCTTTTTAACAGGAGTCATCATATCTCATGAACCTACCAAATCTCAGACCTACAATACCCTAATGGTGGGTATTACTGTTAATACTTTACATTTAGAGACTGATGTTAGTAAGAAAGTGCAGTCCAGGATGTCTGACTTCAAAGCAATGCTCTTTCCACAATGTCCCTTGGCCTTACTTTGTTTATAAAGAGTAAGTAGTAAGACAAATGCCAGGAGCTAGGGCAATGGCGGCACCACAACTGGTATGACCTCCTCCTTTGCTCCTACTGGCAACAAGTATCTTTGGGGTCATTTTGTGTTGACAGAGCTATGAGGAAATCAACAGAATAATATTTCTGATTCTTTCACTATCAATTTGAAAACAATTTTTTTTTGTTTAGAGCCTTTTGCTCAATATTCCTAAAGAACACAGTTCCTTCACTTAATGCAGTTTAAATATGAATAAGAACCACCTACCCTTCTTCTTCCAGAAGGCCTCTTTGTAATACATCATACACTTAATGATAGCTCCCATGGGAAGACGTTGAATTAGTTGGTTTCTCTCTGGTGGAAGTTCTGGTTTGAAGTGGATTTTAGCAGTCAAGGTTGGAGGGATGGCACTAAGTACATATTTGCACTAAAATACACATAAGCAAAATATCATGTTAAGTAGTGAGCTACAGTTCTTGCAGAGGGCATGAAAATCATCTTTATTATTTTGAATGACATCGAGCAATAACCACATACAAAATGAGGCAACAAAACAAAGAGTTAGGTCAATCGATGCTGGTAATTTGGGAAAATGAGGCAGAAACATGCCAGCATTAATTATGCCATTGCTTGGATTACATTTGATTAGAAACTGTAGAAGATACAAGGCCTATTTATTGTGTGTTCATTTTGATAAAAATTAATTACCTCATAGGTTTCATGATTCAATGTCTCCACTACGATATTGTCATTAGTTTGATCAACATATGTGACAGGACATTTCAGCTTCACTCGGTCCCCAAGGAGGTCCATTATCCTCTCGCTTACTTGGCCAGATCCACCGATAAACTTGCGTTCCTATAGGAGAAGGTAGGCCAGAAAGGAAATGTTATAAAAGCCCAAGGAAGGAAAATCATATTGGCACTGATTAAGGAACCTCCAGAAAGTTGCAGGTCACACCTTCACCCTCTACACACTTGACTGTTGGAAGAGCTCATTAAGACAGAAGCAAAATCTGCCAAGACACCTCAATTATCATTCTCTGCACAGCTTCCAGCAGTGAAAGACAGTTACTAGTTAACAAAATCACAGAATCAGAAGAAATGTTCACCTATACCAGTACTGTCCTGACCAAATTGGAACATCAGTAAGTCCTTGGGCTGCAAATGTCCAAGAGTGTGGTGCACAGAAGGAGCCGTGGAAAAAGGAGGGTGCTAAGCTTTTCCCAGCAGATGTGGTTTCTAACTACACTCGACTGCTCTCAGTCCTGGGCTATGATTGTCTGGGTAGGCAAAGATGTAGGCAATGTCATATTATATACAATGTGATTCTAAGAGAGTATATTTAGGGTGCTCTTAGGGATAGCCATGCTCTATCTGTCATTATCAAATGAGGTTCTAAGAGTGTGAATCTCAGATCTTGAGCAACTTTCTACAAAACTGTCCAAAAGTTTGACAGCAGAGGCAGCGGGATGAAGGCTAAGTGCCTGACTGTTATTCAGTATGCTGCCCACTGACACCTGCTATGCTTATTTTTTTTCCTGTTTTCCTCTTTACATTTATTTGTAAAATCTATAGAGTTTTAAGTCACACGTTCCCTTTTTATAACAAAAATTTAAAGGCTGCTGGATGCAAAATAATTTATATATAGTATGAGATAATATAATGCAATATAATATAATACCGTATCCTTGTGGTGGGGGCAGGGATTTAGAGACCTGTCACTCGGAGCCAGCCTTGCACATGCAGATGACATCCCACCCTGACTACCATAGCGACCCCTGGCAAGTTCTCACCTCGATTGGGGTCCCCAAGTTTCCACTCAGAGGTCGGGGAGAGGGCCTCGGGACACCCCTCCAGCTTGGAGCCCCGCAGCAGCCAGAGGCGCACCACAACGCGCCGGTTCCCGGCTGGGGCGGCGGTGTGCCAACCTGCTATGCTTATTGTGGAAATGGTTCCAGCTTAATCTAAGAAGGTAAGTCCTCAATACAATGAATTTGTTAAGAACCCGGGGGATACTTTTAGTTTGCCATAGAAGGTTCTTTCAGTGGTCATAAATATACATTGGTAGCCCAACATTTGAAAATTAAGTACCCAAATCACAAACACACAATGATTTTTGCACTTTTATAACTGGCTACTTTTTTTTTTTTTGACAGGCAGAGTGGACAGTGAGAGAGAGAGACAGAGAGAAAGGTCTTCCTTTTGCCGTTGGTTCACCCTCCAATGGCCGCCGCGGCCGGCGCGCTGTGGCCGGCGCACCGCGCTGATCCGATGGCAGGAGCCAGGAGCCAGGTGCTTTTCCTGGTCTCCCATGGGGTGCAGGGCCCAAGCACCTGGGCCATCCTCCACTGCACTCCCTGGCCACAGCAGAGAGCTGGCCTGGAAGAGGGGCAACCGGGACAGAATCCGGCACCCCGACTGGGACTAGAACCCGGTGTGCCGGTGCTGCAAGGTGGAGGATTAGCCTAGTGAGCCGCGGCGCCGGCCAACTGGCTACTCTTTTAATGACACCACTAAGGCTCTTTATAAAAATATTCTCTAGTGGTTAAGATCTAAATTCATGATTTGTCTTTCTTCCAGAAGACTAGTATCATTTAATATATATTCTGACCTATATTTTCCAAGAGTTGCTTGAATTTTAGTGTAGTGGAAAGACCATGAACTATTTCTGTCTTATTCATGTCTACTACTTTAGTATTTGTTGAATTAAATTACTAAAGGACAAACTTAAGTTCTTCAATAATGATACTGTGATAATAGTTTGAGATTCATAATCTCAACCTTACTTTCCAAAAGCTCATGTAGAGTTTGGCTATAAGTATCCTAACTCCTCTGAATGAAGGACACAAATACCAAATATGAATCAATATAACTCAGAAAGTAAAATATGGGTTACAAAGAGTAATGTAGAACTTTTGCCTGGTAAGTAAAGACACAAAATGCAACTGCCTTGCATTTGCCAAAGCTAAGGGTCAAATGGGCAAATAACTCTTGGTGTCAAAAGAACAACATGGGGATTTCCTAAGGAGAGTAATAATTCATATGCATAGAAAGTCTCTACACTTTTTACTGGCATTAAGAATTTAGGGAATCAGAGAACAGAGCATAAAGTTAGAAGTGAACTGCTACTAATTAAACCTCATCTTATCCAGGCACAACATTCCTAGAAAAGAGATATCCATTCTCTCTGGACAAGGATGAGCCTAGAAATAAAAAGAGTCTCAGAGTCTGAGGAATCAGAGAATTGGGATTCTGGCTTCACCACCAGTTTGCTGAGGATACAGTCAATGAACAAAATGAGTTCCTTTATTAGTAATGCAAGTGGGATGGAAGCTGGGCAAATGCAAGTGGGTGGCCAAAATGTAGGATTCAAGATGTAGAATTTACTATTGCTAACAGTGGCCATAAAATACCTGTGTGACAAGAAGAGAGAACAGCCACTTTCATTCTAACAGTTAACCCAAAATATCTCAAAGAAATGGGTCAAAAACTTTATGTCTAGATCAGAGATGATTTTTTCAGTGCACTGATTTTGTAAGCAGAATTTATTTTATTTCAGGATTTTAGCTTCCTAAGTTTAGCCTATTTTCTCCCACCTCAAAAAGGAAGGAACTTATTTCCCAAGACCTATTAATTCAAAAGAAAATAGTCTTTAGCTGTGAACTTTTCAGGAATGAAAATAAATATTTTTGCAAAAAAGTTTTCTGAGCTCATTTCATACTGCTAAATGTTCATGTTTCAAAATACTGAAATAATTAAGACACTGCCTGGGAGAGAGAAAAATCACAAATCAAGTTAGAGTCTCAGAACAGACGTGCCATACCTGGCCCCCATTGGTGATTGAGAAGATCCGCGTGGTGCCACCACACTGCTTTACATACCACAAGAACCACAGGGCAGATACCTCATGAGGCTCAGAGGTCACATTGATGTTCACAAAAAGATAGGCGAAGTGTCTGGCAGTCCTGTTCACAGAACAAAAGTCTAGGTTAGTAGTTAAGACTTAACATGAGCCATGGATCGTATGTTCCGAAAATACAATGCAGTATGGTTAGAAAGTAATTTTATTGCTTTTGGGGAAAAAATCTTAAGGCTCAATGTCTGAAGAAATGCATTTTTGTTGGCTGGCGCCATGGCTCACTAGGCTAATCCTCCGCCTGCGGCGCTGGTAGCCCGGGCTCTAGACCCAGTTGGGGAGCCGGATTCTGTCCCGGTTGCTCCTCTTCCAGTCCTGCTTTCTGCTGTGGCCTGGGAAGGCAGTGGAGGATGGCCCAAGTGCTTGGGCCCTACACCTGCATGGGAGACCAGGAGGAAGCACCTGGCTCCTGGCTTCGGATAGGCACAGCGCACTGGCCTTAGTGGCCATTTGGGGGGTAAACCAAAGGAAGGAAGACCTTTCTCTCTGTCTCTCTCTCTCTCTCACTGTCTAACTGCCTGTCAAAAAAAATGCATTTTTGTAACTCTTGGGGAAAATAAAGTGTTCTGCTTTTTTAAAAAAAGATTTTATTTATTTATTTGACAGGTAGAGTTACAGACAGTGAGAGAGAGAGAGACAGAAAGGTCTTCCTTCCATTGGTTCACTCCCCAAATGGCTGCCAAGGCCAGCGCTGCGCTGATCTGTAGTCAAGAGCCAGGTGTTTCTCCCAAGCACTTGGGCCATCCTCCACTGTCCTCCCGGATCACAGCAGAGCTGAACTGGAAGAGGAGCAACCGGGACTAGAACCGGCGCCCATATGGGATGCCGGCGCTGCGGGTGGATTAACCAAGTAAGCCACGGTGCTGGCCCCGTTCTTCTGCTTTTTAAGAAATCATGGTTTAGCTCCAAATACTCAGATCCAGTCTGTCTAAAGGGTCAATATGCTTGCCAGGGATCACGAGGGATACTTCTCATCTATTGTAACAACTACCCTCTTTTCTCCATCTATACTACTTCCACACTGCTCCAGGCTACCAGTGTTTCCTCATCTTGGCTACACTAGTGATGGCTCCTGACTGATCACTCATTCCCTCTTGAACACTTTTCTATACTAGAGTAAATGAGGTCTAAAAGTGCAAATTCAAATACCTCTCTGCCTAA